AGTCAGAAAACCTAGTCAGGGAATGCTCACCTGGTTGGGAAGTGTCAGTCCAGCCCCTCTTGGCTCGTACACAGTAATCCCATCTTGTATTGGGGTCCTTGACAAACTTCCCGATATCTCGGAAGAGTTCACAGAAAGACATTTGGCTGGCTCGATAAACAGTGTAGTAGAGGAGGGCGGCCCTCCATAAAAAGGGGTCTTTTCTAAACAGGACACTGTGAATACTCGCCAGTCCTTCCTCCGTGGGATTGTTTGGCTTCAGCTCATGTTTTTTACGGCCAGTCCAACTGTTCCATGGCTGCTGAAGGTTGTTAATACCTCGAAAATAATGCGTGCCTACAGAGAAGGAAGGCACACGGAAAACAAGAAATGCCATTCTCGTTTTCATTCTTTCCCCGGACCCACACTGATGTGCCCCTACCAATCAAAATGAGCAGGAAACGGCCCGACCCCAAAATCTTTTGGTTCAAAGGAGCAAGCACACTGCCTTTAGAGGGCTCATGCATCTCATGAGAAGAAGTATAAGTTTTATAGCAAATTATTTTTTTAAAGGGAAGAATCATAGACTTGATACTTAAAAGAATCGCAGAGATCACTTAATTCAATTCCTTCAGTTTAAGGTTGGGAAGCTGAAATCCCCAGGGATTAAAGGACTTTCTGAGCTGAATACAGCTATACAGTGTCCTAAAAAAATCTAATTTGGAATGAGAATTAATCATCTCAGCTTTAGTTCAAGTGAAACCTAACAACTTCATTACTTTTTGCCAAATGCTGCTAAAACAAATCAACAAAAGCCCTTATAAAAGAACACTTCTTTGGAGCTAATTTCTGACATTACGAATGGACAAATGGAGACGCGCGGGCCTACCTATCTCGTGTCTCAGCATCCCTTCCAGCCAGTGCTCGCGTGCAGTGGACACATTGATGGTCAGTGTGGGACACCCATTCACGACTGTCATGGATGCTCGGGAGAGCAGGTCCTCGGTGAGATGAACCACAATCTAAGAAGCAAGAGGAAAAATACATACACATATTTGACCCTTCCAATTTTGAGCCTCTGGGAATTCAAGAACCTTTACTGGAATGAAAGGACAGGCGACGACTATGCTGAGGAAGACACGGGGGACTGAAAATACGCCTCGGCTGTGCTGTCTGTCAAGCATGGTCCCCTGGCTAAAATGACGCCAACGAAGGTGCAAGCGCCAGAGCGCTGTTCACTGCTGGGCCGACCCTTATTTCGAGACTGAATACTAGGAACTGGCCACTAGGAAGAGAGGCCACTGGGGTAAATCTCTTCATTAACAAAGTTCATGAAATAACTCACATAATCCCACAAGCTATACAGAAATGGTGGGAAGAAAAGAAGAAAAACAGGAAGAAAGTGAACACAATTCAATGAAACAGAAAATCAGACTTGCAGTATTTAGTGAGACATCTGGGTGACTAATTTAATGAGCTAAATAGTGTTGGAAAATTGAAACCTGGAGCAAAAGCCCCGTGGCACTGACTGAGCGCTAATCCCAGCAGTGGGCCCCTCAGCTCACGTGGACTCACCTCGCCCATGCAGCCTTCCTTCATCATGTACTTCCTGACATGGCTCCAGATTCGAGTCTTAGACAGCAGGCTACCACCAGTGGCCTGTTCAAATTTCTCATAACTTCCATACTTCTGTAAAGTCAGCTCCATAATATTGATGGACTGTGAAAGAAACAGAGATAATGAAAGGAAACAGTCTCCCGTTACTTCCAGATGAGTAATAAGCCGGTTACATTCTTAGTCCTTGTGACCTGTTTCTGGGTTTATCGATTGCCAAATGGAAGTGCAACCGAGGTACCACACGTTTCTAATCCTAAACAGCTTTCACTCGTTTTCACCAGTGTTTACAAACACTCGTGTGGTTACAAATACCACTCCCTTCCCCTAAGCTCGCTTCTCTCTAACACACGAAGGATGCAGGGGCTCAAGGACCTCGTGTGTTGTGAACATCTGACTGGCTGACAAGCTGCGGCAGACAGGCTCCTTGGCTTCTCGAAGGCCCTGCGGTGGTTTAGCAGGACTCGGAGTGGGAGGCATGTCTCTAGATGAGTCACTAGATTATAATTACCATTTGGATAGAGAAAACAATACACCGCCCCCCCGCCCCCCAATTTTTAAGAACACACAAAAGAATCAACCATTCTTCTGTGAAAATCCTATAAAATCTGGTGTCTCCCTGGGCTACTCTTGGGCAGAAAATATAACGTCAACATTACTAATAACACTTGCATCTTTCATTCAAGGCAAGGTACCATCTACGTTTCATTCTTCATAAATCTGCATCGAAAGAATGTGGAGTCAAGATCTTGTTCTCTAAACACAAATATGTAGGAAGGAAGACTTAAAAAAAGCCTGGTAACAAATCACGGATCATCAGTATCTATGGGAAAGCCACAAGAAAGGAAAACATAAGGAAGAAAAATGCTCTTCAAAGGTCTTTTGGGAAATAAATTAGAAATTCAAATATATCTTAAATGAATTGTGAAAGAAGCTGCAGTATTCAGATACATGTTATGTAAGTCTATAGTTTCTGGACTGTTATCAGACTAGTAAAGAGATTAAAAGTATAAGCTCTAGAATCAGACTACCTGAGTTGACATCCTGGCTGTCACCTTCTAGTTGTGTGACCATGGTCAAGTCACTGGATTTGTTACTAAGCCTTCTCATTTGTAAATGGGGATGACAATAATAGTATCTATTTCATGGTTTTGTTGAGAAAATTTAGTCAACCTTCGTAAAGCATAATTTCAGACACAACAGTCAATATATGAGAGGTGACAATTAAGTTCGCGAACTTGTTGCAACAATGTTGCTAACTTTTTTTTATATCAGAGGGATTACTCATTATGAATTTCTACCAACTGGACAAACAGTTCACCAAGTTTACTATTTGGAAGTGCTGAAAAGGCTGCATGAAAAAGTTAGATGACCTGAACTTTTCGCCAACAATTCATGGCTCTTGCATCACGACAATGNAAAAAAAATGAAGTGGAAAAAGCTTATGAGATCTGAGCCTATTTTAAAGAAAAGGTGTTCCATTTACAAAGAAAACCTTTCTCCCATTATAACTTGTGAACTTTAAAAAAATGTTTGCTCTATTAAATGGACGAAAATCCTACCATATGGAGATTCCTATATTAAGAAACTGTCAATTTTGTTCGACATGCTAATAGCATGGAGATTGTGGGGGAAAAAAAGTTGTCCTTATCAGAGATGCATACTGACGCATTTGTGGGTAAAAGGACATGATGTCTGGCATTGGCTTTAATATACTGTAGAAAAACAGGAATTTGGAAGAATAGATGAACCACAGTTAGAAAATATTGATAATTACTAAGATTAGGTAATATTTAATGAGGGTTCAGCACATTAACAACTCTTCTTTTGTATACATTTGAAATTTTCAGCAATACATTTTTTTTTTTTTAAGGATGTGAAGGAAAGAAAAGAACTAGTCTAACAGTGAAGCGGCTCCACGGGTGTCACGGCCAGTGTGAAAATTGTGCATCCAGGTACCAAGGACTAAAATACAGGCAAGCAGATAGATCTAAGAGGGGAAGGCAGATGGCAAGCACAGTCTCGATCAGAAACAAATTGGGATGACTGACATGTCAACAACAATCAAGGCTCAACTACAACAGGAGGGCACACACAACCCACACATGGGACACTCCTGGAGCCCCCGGAGCAGGTCACCAGGGAGACGGCGCCACTGGGCCCCACAGGGCACCTACTACATAAGGCCACCCGCCAAGACTGGGAGATGTAGCAGGTCTATCCTAATACATTGAAACAAACACAGAGAGGCAGCCAAAATGAGGAAACAAAGAAACATGTCCCAAAAGAAAGAACAGTAGAAAACTCCAGAAAAAGAACTAAGTGAATGTAAGCAAGCCAAAACAAAGTTCAAAACAATGGTTATAAGGATGCTCAAGGAAATTAGTAAGAACTTTAACAATGAGATGGCAAGCACAAGAAAGGACACGGAAACCATAAAAAAGAACCAGCCAGAAGTGAAGAATACAAGAACTGAAATGAAGAATGCGCTAGAAGGGATCACCAGCACACTAGATGAAGAAGAGGATCAAATCAGCAATTTGGAAGACAACGTAACAGAAAACACCCAATTGGAACAGCAAAAACAAGAAAGAGTCCAAGAAAAAAACATTAGGATAGTTTAAGAGACCTCTGGGACATCAAGCGTACCAACATTCGCATCATAAGGGGTACCAGAAGGAGAAGAGAGCAAGCCAGCGACTGAGAACCTATCTGAACAAATAATGGCTGAAGCAGCCTGGCGTGGTGCTGCGTACACGAGGCAGGGGACGGACGTCCCCGTCTTCCC